GAGGGGAGCTTCCCCTCAAGGGACTGGCGGTCGCTGAGGGAAAAAGGCTCGAGCTGGTTGGTGAGGGAGGGGGCGGCGGCCGCGAGGGCTTCTTTATTTATTTATTTATTTATCTTTTCTTTTTTACTCGTGAGGAGAAGCTGGCCCTCCCCTCTCACGTGGAGGAGAGGAGAGGGTCTATCTCTTTGCTACCGGTGATGTTGTGCTAGTGCACCTTAATTAATTAAATAATGAGTGTGTGCCTCCATCCCACTGCTGGGGTCGTAATGCTCTTGCTGGTTTGCAGCTGGATGGTACGCAACGAGTATACTGTACAATATATACGTACGTGTGTACCAGGTGCATTACGACCCCAGCACTGGGATACACACACACACACACATATGTGTGAGTGTGCCTTTATCCCACTGCTGGTGTGATGGTATATATACAGTAGTGTGTGTGTGTGTGTGTGTATGTGTGTGTATATACACACATACAGTAGTACAGTATGTAATAATTTTCTAGTGCTAATAATTTTTATATGTCATGTTATGTATGTACTTGGAAGCCGCCTAGAGTGGTCATAACTCCAGATAGGCGGGATATAAATGAAATAAAAATACTAGTATAAATAGACTAAGAAGGGACTAGTGATCACCATTTGTCAGCAATGACTTACGAAATAATTAAAATTTTGTAATGACAGAGGAATTGCATATCACTTGACAGACAGACCGACAGATGGATAGTGAAGAAGAAAGAATTCATACAGTTCATTTCTTGGAACCTCTCTAAGGAAGGGAATTATTTCTCCACAGCCTTCCTCCCAGCCACACACCTTTATCTCCCTCCCTTCTTTGCTTCAAGCAAATGAACGGATGATTTCTCCTTCCCTATACAGTATTAATTCATACATTTCATTTCTTGGAACCTCTCTAAGGAATGGAATTATTTCTCCACAGCCTTCCTCCCAGCCACACACCTTTATCTCCCTCCCTTCTTTGCTTCAAGCAAATGAACGGATGATTTCTCCTTCCCTATACAGTATATTCGAATCCAAGGCAGACCTTTCAACATCACAATAATCCAAGTTTATGGACCAACCACCATTGCTGAGGAGACTGAAATTGAACAATTTTATGAAGATATACAACACCTTCTAGAATTGACACCAAAGAAAGATGTTCTTCTCATTCTAGGAGACTGGAATGCTAAAGTAGAGAGCCAAGAGATAAAAGGAACAACAGGAAAGTTTGGCCTGGGAGTTCAGAACAAAGCAGGGCAAAGGCTAATAGAGTTTTGTCAAGAGAACAACCTGGCCATCACAAACACTCTTTTCCAACAACACAAGAGGCGACTCTATACATGGAAATCACCAGATGGGCAATATCAAAATCAGATTGATTATATTCTCTGCAGCCAAAGATGGAGAAGCTCTATACAGTCAGCAAAAACAAGACCTGGAGCTGACTGCGGCTCTGATCATCAGCTTCTCATAGCAAAATTCAAGCTTAAACTGAAGAGAGTAGGAAAAACCACTGAGCTAGTCAGGTATAATCTAAACCAAATCCCTTATGAATACACAGTGGAAGTAAAGAACACATTTAAGGAACTCAGTTTGGTGGTCAGAGTGTCTGAAGAACTTTGGATAGAGGCTCATAACATTGTACAGGAGGCAGAGTACTGCTGTTCTTAAGAAGTTTGTATCTTTTCTGATACTCTTATGATTCGAAACTTGAATATTCCTGGTGTGCGCCACTTTTCTTAAAAATTAACTTCTCCATTCATATGCATCATCATCCTTAATAACTGTTCTGAATATCTTGAGCCATGATTTCCCTTTTAAGCACCTTTTCATCACAGATTGTGCTGCTTGCTTTTGGCCCTCAAAATCTTCCATCCAGCTGTCTAAATTATTTTAACTGAC